AAAAGAAAAGCCAGAAAAATGAGAACCCATTCTCGAGGTAACAAACCATACACAGACGCCAGCTCCAAGATAACTGAATGCCAGGAGATCCATCAGGTGGGGACCTGAATGTGGCCACTACAACTATGTTCAAAAAAGAAAGGGAACCATGCTTATGATGAAAAGATGGAGGTTTCAGTAAAGAAATGAAGAGATCTAAAATTCTACCTGAAGAAGCTGGCAAACAGAGGGCAGGATAAACCCAGAGAAGGTAAAAGAAGGAAATAATATAGACAAGAGCAGAAACCAATGAAACACAAAACACAATGGAGAAAATGAACCGCCTTGAAAAGATAAATGCAGTGGTGGGCTTTGCCAGTAGAGGGCGCTGGAGGGACTGCGAGGTTCGGCGGCGCCAAGGGCTTCTTTGCCAGGGTTGGTGTGCTTTTCTCCTTCTTCCCAAGGGCTTCTGCCTGCAGTGCGCAGGGGACCCAGAGGTGCCTGCCCTCAGCAAGGTCTTCTGCCACCCAACAGGCAGCGTCCTGAACCCAGTCGCCACACCATACCCTTGCAGGGCAGGGAGGTCTCTTTCCAGTTTGCCCCTTCTGGGTACTGCCCTCAGCCCTAAAGGTAGTAGTAGCTGCACTTGCTACAGTAGCTATTTCTGCACTCATTGTTAAGCACCTCTTCCTAGTAAATAATGATGTGAATTCCATTTTCTCTGTTCAGATTACCGGTGTGGTTTCTGTCTCTTGACTGGGCTGTGCCTGAAACAGATGTGGTCAGGAGCACGGCTCAGCTCCCCATGACTTGCAAAGGTGTCTGCAGTACTCGCAGCACTCCTAACCGTCAATCCAAACACCACAATGTCAGTAGAGTAGACCGACATGACGCTTTCATGGGACACCAAGGTGATCAAGATCTCCCTGGACTAACATATGGGAACAGCAGAAGTGATACACCCCTGAAGCCAGACAGTGCAGGGGGCCTGTCGGCCCTGACGGGCAAAAGCAAACTGCTTCTGGTGGCCCCTGCAAACTGGTACGAAGAAAAAGCACCAGGGGTCAAAAGCTGCGGACCAAGGCCAGAGTCTGTGTTGCATAAAGATACAATATTTGCAGAAAGACACTACATCTGGGACTAAATCTGTGATCAGTGTAACCACTGAATTACGTTTATGAAAGCACATGGACATTTTCCAAAATCCATCTGACTTTTCTACTTTTTCTAAATGACTGAAGTGGGGATATGAAAGGTAGCTCCATTCCTGGATTTTTCAAGTTCTTGACGGTGGCACTAATTTCTGTAAATTCCTCAAGGATGTAGAATTGCTTTTGGTTTTCCGTCTTGGTAGGAAAGTTAGAGAGACTTCCAAGCAGCCTCTCCTACCATAATGCCCACCCCCCACCGCAGGTCAGAGAATCAACATGGGGATTCTGCCCACTGTCAAGTATGTCTGCTCAATTACACATTCACGGGCCAAAAGATGAAACTGGCAGGTCCTGATTTCAGCAGTCACCATGACTGTTCTAGAGAAACAAAAGCGGGGCATCCATGCTGAGCATGTGCATGGAGGCCGTCAGACACAGGATGGATTAAGAAAGGAGCTGGAGTGCAGGACATGGGAGGGAAAAGACTGGGAAAGACTGAACATTTCTCTTAACCTCAGACAATGGAGGACCCCGATAGGGGGCTACATACTGTTATCTTTGTTTGGTGAGCAATGGGGAAATACCAAGAATTACCAGAAGGAGAACGACATGAGCAATGGGGAAATACCAAGAATTACCAGAAGGAGAACGAAATGACCAAAGTCAGATTAATCTTTCAATAATCTTTCAAAAACACAAACAGACCAAATGCACAGGAAAACTAGTTAGAAGGCTAATGCCATTGCACACACAAGGAGGTGAACACGGTAGGGCAGGAGCAGAGAAACGAGGGTGGGTGATCTGGAAAATATTCCAGAGTCTACAAAAGAAGACGAGACTTGGCAACCGATAAGATGTGAAGGATGAGAGAGAATCAGGATAAGCTTCATTGAGTACGGATAACTGGGAGGACGGTGGTATTAGAAGAGCAGGGACACCAGGAATCGAAACAGAGCTGCCTGTCATTCTGGATAATATTATTAAGTTGTTACTATGACCTGATAGAATTTATGGCAATTTCTTTGCTTTCCTTCAAACAGTTTTGCTTTTCATTAGAAACACAGAAAATAAGGTATGGCATTTTTCCAGGAAAGTTTTAACCTAAAAATAGGGAACAAAGGCAGGAAAGACAAGAGATTACTTAAAAACAATAAATGGTCTCCAATCTAATACAGATTGGTCCTCTGGCAACAGTTTCCACAATACGCAAATATAACATACTTGGAAACATCTGCTCTCTTGAAAAACAAACTACTGCTATATGTTATTTTCTTCCTATAGATTTTTACAGGGAAGCCTGTATTTTTAATGCAATGTAGAGTGGTGGCTGAAAGGTGGCCTCTGGGCCAGAGTGCCTGAGTTCAAATTCTAGCTCTGCTACTTGCTATCTGTGTGTCTCTGAACACATTATTTCACCTCTCTGTGTTCTGGTTTAAAAGAGGACTAAAAAGAGCACATAGGGACTGAGAGGGTTATTCTGAAGACTGAATGAGTTACAAATGAGTTAATACAAGGCACTTAGAGTTATGTATGCCTCCAGGGTCACTCAAACAAGTAAGAACCCTATAAGTTATATTGATGAAAGAAATCGAGCTTTCCTCATTCTATTATTTAAAAACTAACGTGGGGGACGCCTGGGTGGCTCGGTTGGTTGAGCAGCTGCCTTCGGCTCAGGTCATGATCCCAGCGTCCTGGGATCGAGTCCCACATCGGGCTCCTTGCTTGTCAGGGAGCCTGCTTCTCCCTCTGCCTCTGCCTGCCATTCTGTCTGCCTGTGCTCGCTCTCTCTCCCTCTCTCTCTCTCTGACAAATAAATAAATAAAATCTTAAAAAAAAAAAAAAAAAAAAACTAACGTGGGTGGGCTCCTGGTTGGCTCCGTTGGTAGAACATGAAACTCTTGATCTCAGGGCTGTGAGTTCTAGGCCCCATGTTGGGCCTAGAGCTTACCTTAAAAAAGTAACACTGGACAGCTCAGAAACGAGGAGACTACTAATCCATGAATTTATTTGGAAATGCTTTTAAAGATCAAGGAAGGAGGCATATTCTTATGTCTAATACTTATGAACTGAAAGCAAGTACTACACCTACGTTTAAAGCTTATTAACTATTAATATAAAACAACCTGACAGAAATAGAAAAGTTCTAGCAATTGATAGCAGATCAAGGGCAAACTGAGAAACTCTGCAGCCAGATTTAAGTCCTATAAACAAACAGGGACAGGGACGGGTGAGGCATACGTGGCCTTGATTCCCCCAGCGAACGAGTGGCAGCCTCTAGCTCACACTGCCCAGGCAGTACCTCGTTTTGAAGACGGCACAGGTCTGTATTTTATCAGAGACCAAACACACTGACCACTACTTATAAATGAAGTTGAGCAGACAGTCTCGAGAGTCACTTGGGCAGGAATTAACATGCTACTTTGCACCTTGGATGGTCGGCCTCACAACAATCTATGAAGAGAAATGTATAAAAGTCTGAAATGCTGCCCTACTCCCACCATAGCAGACATTCTCTAAACTGTTCTCATGCTTTGTCTAATAAATTTTCCTAGGGGGGGTCTACCCCTATAATTGATGGGGGCGGGGGGGAGAAAGGCTATGCAAATATCCTCACTTTGAAATACATTAAAAGTTAGGTAACATTTGTATGTATCTCTAAAGTCTTGGTAGCTGCTTATTGTTTGCTCTAATCTAAAATAGTATGAAATTAAATGTTGCCTTATGGCACCCCCTTCTGGTAACAGGATTGAAATACTGTAACAAGATGAATTTTCGCATGACCATTTCCCTCTATGATTTAGATAGTGCAGTTCAGTGCTTACCATAATAAAATGTGTGGGAGGAGAGAAGGGAAGGAGGTTGGTAGAAGCGTGCCTAGTCTACGAGACCAGTAAAGCAACCTGAAACAGATGTTTCGAGACTCTGTGACACCACACTTCATTCACCGACTCAACCTTCCATTGGGAGTCTAACACAGGCCAGGTATGATGCTGAAGTTAAGATCCATGGACAGCTGAGCCCAACCTTGCCCTCAAGAATCTTATGGTTAGGGTGCCTAGGTGGCTCAGTTGGTTAAGAGTCTGCCTTCAGTTCAGTTCATGATCCCAGGGTCCTGGGATGGAGTTCTGCGTCAAGCTCCCTGCTTAGCGGGAAGTCTGCTTCTCCCTCTGGCCCTCGCCCCTGCTCATGATCTCTCATGATCTCTCTCTCTCTCAAATAAATAAATAAAATCTTACCAAAAAAAAAAAAAAATCTTATGGTTAACAATTACAATGCAAGAGCCATGACCTGAATGTTATGAGATCACAGATGGAGGAGCCTAAACCGGACTGGGAGGTGTGAGGAGGCTTTCTTTAGGCAGTGATAATTATGCACAGTTTTGGAAGAGACTGTATTAACTGGATAAATATTGAAGGGGGATTTTAGGTAAAAGGAATAGTATAAAAGCACAGAGCTGAGATAATCAATAACATGTTTTGGGGAGAAAATGTGGCTCACTGTAACTCAAGTGAAGCACCTGTGTTGACTACAGCAGAAAGAATAGAGAAAGGCCATATCACAGAAGGCCACACGCTAGGTTAAGGAGTTTAAATTTTCTCCTAAAAGCAATAGGGAGCCAATAAATGATTTTAAACAACCAAGGATCAAGGTCTGATATAGGTTTCAGAAACACCGTTCTATGGTTTTAAGCTACGAATACTTCTGAAGTCTCTGACAAAATCTCTAGTAAGCTCTAGGCATATGTCCCAAATAAACAAGATAATTCAGTCAAGTCGCTTGAAAACAAAACAAAACAAAACAAATTGAAGACATGACTCTGAAGGCAGAGAGGAAAAGTTCCACAAGTTATGTGAAGCCGTTCAAACTCACCGTTTAAACTCGTCATGGTAGAATTCAGACTTGCAAGTGACCATCTCATTAGAGCCCTGGACGTCCTCCCGACTTCGGACGCCCCCAAACACGTATAGCTCCATGGCCACGCCGCAGGCCACAGCTCCAAATCTGAAAGGCGACACACAGCACATCAGCTACTGGATTTACAACTCATGGCCCAATTCCCCAGCTCCTCTTCTGCTTGTTTTAACTCTGCAGTGTTCAGGGTTCCATGCATATGTGGGTCTTCCTTTTCCAGAAATGGATTTTTCACGGACTTTTATAGAAACCAAATGCCAAGACAAGTGAAAGGTTCATTTGAAAGAAACGGGGCACCTACATGGTCCATGCCCGCATTCTCGTACCTTCTCTCCTTCAGCGGACAGATCGCAGTCCACTGCTGGGTCCTTGGGTCATAACATTCCACGGATTCAAAGAGTTTTCCATACGACCCTCCTCCCATGGCATAGATTTTCTTTTTCATAGCTGCATAGCAGCCGATCTGGAAGGAGAAAGCGAGGTGGGGAGAAAACACTTACTACTCACGCGACACAAACACCCACTTTAGTCTAGAGAGCACCACAGGGTGTCTGGGAAAGGATTTGATTTCTAATAGTAAAACCATGGTATTTTCCAATACTAGGAAGACAGGATTTTAAAAGCAAGAAGAGGAGGCTGTACACGTAGCGTCTGTTAACGCCATCTGACGTGACTGTGCTCAGTGAGATACGTAAATGACCCAAATTTTTAAAGAGCTTTCCAGTCTCTCCATTCTTCCACAACTATTTGAAGATTCCAAGATTGAGATTCTGTCGAGCAACATGTCATTCAATTCCTGCTCCAAATGAGTTAAGCATAGAGAGTGGGAGCACAGCACCCAAGGTGTAAATATCCACAAGACTGGAAGCTTCGGTGTGAAGAAGAACCCCTCCCTCCCAGCCCAGAAAACAGGAATAAGGCAGCCTGTGCTCTAAACGGCTAACGGAAGCCAAGTTTTCGCTCTACTCTGGACGCAGTGGCCGTGCTTACCTGCAGACTGTCTCTCCTCAGGCCTGCCTGATCATTAAGACAAGGTTGGAAGACCTGGCTGCTTCCTAGGTTAGCGTGCTCATGAAGCGTTTGTCAAGCGCAGGAGTGGGCACAGCATTGCATCGCAGAGCCCCGTCAGGGTGAGCTCTCACATGCACTCCATCTCCTGTCCGGGTGTCGGGCTGATGACAATGAAGGCAAGCCACCGAAAGTGACAGAAGTCTGTGACCTTCCCTCTTTCAACACTATCGATTGTAGTGAAAGGTGGATGTGGGAAAGGAAGAAAGGCTAACCTTAAAACCCAATCTGTAATCACAAGATATGGTTCTCACCTTTCTAACCATGGTCAGGTCAGGTTGCTTCGTCCAGGTTTTAGAATAAATGTCGTAACACTCCATGGAAATTAGCTCTTTCTCACCATCCTCTCCTCCTAAAATGTACAGCATTCCGTCTATCTCCACAATACCAAAATTATGTCGTGGCTGAAAAGACATCAAAGCTCTCTTTATATAAAAAGCCAAACACCAGACTGAAAGCAGATATCCACACATTTAATAAAAACTACAGATACCATCACATTCCAGAGTTTCAGCAAAGAGGTGTCATGCTCAAAACCATCTCTCTCAGACATGTGCGATTTTCCGAGCAGCTCACCTTTCTGTCATGAGAGACAGAACCCAATCTAGGAGTTATTCAAAACAAGGGAATTACATGCGTGATAAATTCACTGGTGGAGTCACCATTTTGTACTCACCATTGCTCACAACAACAAGAACTATTACCTTCTGGTTCAATTAAACTGTGTTTAGCAATGGGCTAAAGTGCTTCCAAATTGCTGTGTGAAAGACAAGGAAGAACCCCAGCAAGAGCTCTGCCTTAGAGGCTGGGAGAGGCATGGGGAAGTCGGGCTCCTGCTACCGCCAACTGGAATGACAGAAGCCTGAGGGGACATTTGTCAACAAATACTTGCTTAGTGTCCCTGCTGTCCCCTCTGTGCCCAGTGCTGCTCTAGTACTAAAGACGGAGCCCTCAGCAGCCAGACAAAATCCCCAGCCATCAAGGAGTTTGTGTGAACAATTAAAAAATATCCAGTATTTGAGAAGGTATCGCGTGATATGAAGAGAAAGTAAGTGGGTGGAGACAGAAGAGCTGAGGGGCAGGAGGGAAGGCCTCCCTAGGAAGTGCCACATGGACAAACACCAATGGAAGCAGAGAACAAGCCACAAGGGTGTCTGGCAAAGGTTCCAAAGGAAGAGTGTGTGTAGGTTTGAGGAAACACGAGGAGGTCTGATGGACCAAAGGAAGACACCAAGAGAGGAGCTGGGATGGTGGGCACTAAGGCAGTGAGCACAGGGTGTGGCAGGGTCACCGTTTCTCTCCTTACATACACACAGATGCAAAACAAATGAAAGTGCTAAAGGGAAGACAGACACTCTACCAAACAAATGAAAAAGAACGTTTTACCTCATTCATCGGTGGCAATGCCGTCCACGTGTTCGCATCTGGGTCGTATTTTTCTCCTGAACTCAGGGTCTGCTTATTTTCATCTTGGCCCCCAAATACGAACAAGAATCCCTCTGTAAAAATCAAATGAGACATACGAGAAAGTTGAAACTTCAGTCTTCAATTCCCATCTCCTGCTGAGTATAAATGGCACAGCTGTAGAGACAGTATCTGGAGGTAACTTCTCTAATGACAACAGTGGATTTGAGGTTTTCATCAAAATTCATTCGATCCTTGGTGAGAGAGGCTAATTCACATCTGTGGCTCACTTTGGCCATTTCACCTCACTCAGCATCTGAGTGGATTCCCACTACCCTATAGCGTGCAGCCCAGACTGGCACCACCTACACAGACACCAAGCAGCTCTGCCTATCCTCATCCCCCTGTGATTCCCAGACAACCTTTCATCCACAGCCCACATCTGCTCGTTCAAGACCCAGGAGCACTCAGATCTGGGGCACCTGTGCAGTTCATGTTCAAAACAGGATTTAAGAGTCACTGTTGAACTTCCTATTTCAGGTAATGGTGGATTAGGTTATTCATACCAACTCTTGTGCAAAACAGCTAAATTGCTGGACAAAACATTTTTTGTTTTATTTTGTCCTTTTGGACAAAACATTTTTGAAATAAAATAATCTTAAAAGAGAAGAAGGCAACAGGGCAATATGGCAAAGCTGAAAGGAAAAGGGGGAGCTGGAGAGGTCACCACCCACGGAAACCATTTTGCTTTGAGGGCATTCACCAATCTGGGAAATTTCCAAACTTTCTTATAATGGCTTTGAGGGCATGAAGGGACAAAAATCAAAACCCCAGGCCCACAGGAAGTATGACTTCTGGCAGGAGAGCCTCTCCAAAGTTTAACCAGAACCAGAAACCAGATTTAAATTTCCTTCCTTGTCTAGGAGATTTCAAGGTTTGGGTTTGATTTACAGCAATTCAATTCCAAATGTGCAGTGTTTATAGGCAACTGGAAGAAAGAAATGTAAAACTTGTATGGAAGAAAATATCCTTACCTAATCTTTAGATTCTAATATTCTAAAATTTTAAAGCATCAAATTATTCCTACAAGTAATTTTTACTAAAATGATCACCACCCAACCAAAGATACTCGGACACAGAAACTAGACTCCGTGAAGAACTGACAATAGGAATTAGTCTTACAGAGACTTTAAATTTCACATATTGGACTCTCCAGAAAGATGATAAAATGACAATGCCTACTATGTTTAAAAATGGAATGACAAATTTTTTACGAAGATTTTATTTATTTATCTGAATGTGAGAGAAAGTGAGCGAGCGAGCTTGAGTGTGGAGGAGGGTCCAAGGGAGATGGAGAAGCAGGCTTCTCACTGAGCAGGAAACCCAAGGTGGAGCTCAATCCCAGGTGGCCCCTGGGATCATGACCCGAGCCAAAGGCAGACACTTAACCAACTGAGCCACCCAGCTGCCCCCTGAAGGACAAATTTTAAGAGAACTCTTAGAAAAAGGGGACTGTAGAAGTGACACAGCAGATCTGCAAAAGATTTAAAGAGAATCTCTAGGAATAAAATAAGAAAATAAAAACATAAAATTTGAAAAAATTAACAGATGGGTTTAATGGCAGATCTGTCACAGTTAAAGAGAGAACTCATTAAGCGAAGGGTAAATGAAAAGAAATCATAAAGAAGGCAACACACAGAGAGGCAAAAACATGGAAAACAAAACAAAGCAGAGGTAGGAGGCTAAGGACAGAGCAAAAAGGTGTAGCCATGTTTAATCGGACTTCCAAAAAAAGCAAAGAGGACGATGGAACAGAGGCAATACCTGAAGATGTAAAAATGAGTAAGAATTTTCCAGATCTGAGGAAAGACCAAGCCACAGGGTCAAGATGCCCTAAAATTCTATATCCAGCACAAGTATCCTTTAAGAATGAAGGCAAAACAATGACATTATTAGACAAAGAAATCAGTGTTTGCTCCCAGTAGACCCACAACAAAGGAAATTCAAAAGGATGGACCTCAGAGAAGGCAAATAATCCTAGATGGAAGGTCTGAAGAGTAAGAAGGAAAAACAAAGAAAGTGGTGAATATGTGAGTAAATCTACACACTTTCCTCTCTCTCCGTATGTTCCGAATATATATATATATATATATATATATTTTTTTTTTCAAAACATATGAATTCAAAACAGATGAATCGAACTCATTTATATGTAGATACTTATTCATAAACAGTCATATATTTTAATACTGCAAGACTGTGAAACAGTAGAAATGCACTTGGGCTTTTATAACTTGAGAATACAGGCTAGGGTATCTATGATGACTTTCAAAGGAATATAGACAAAGAATGTAACTTCTAACCTGGAAGAGAGGGCACAAAGTGAAGACCCCCCCCCCCCAAAAAAAATCCATCAATTAAAAAAAAAAAGAAAGGCAGGAAAAGAAGAAACACAGTACTGGCTGGACAAATAGGAACCACTCAATCATGTCACAGCTTTGCTCGGTACAACCAGACACGACCCCATCCTCATTGTTCAATGTTTCTGAAGTACCAACCCCTCTAGGAAATCTCAGAAAATCTGTGATATAGGAAATGTTGTGGCAGGTGTGCATGTGTGAAAATTTTGAATAGATGTACATATTAAGGGAAGGAAATGTAAGGAAGCTAATTCTGAGAAGAGAGAACAAGAAAATCAGACTCACATCCTGTCAGCTACACTACTGCATTCACTGCTTATATTATTATTGACAATAAGTTCAACCATCTTGGAACCCAAAAAATGATTCCATTTATGTACTATAGTATAGCTTCAGCCATTTCTATAATATGGAATGGGATGGTATACCTTTCAAACTCTTTAAAGTAATGTTAGTGGGCAAGCAGAGACTATACAGTATGAAGGATTCCAGGAAGACTGTTGATAATAAGTGGAATTTAGTGAAATGGCACTTATGGGTGAACTCAGAAGAGCAGAGCAAGGTGAAAAGAAAGGGAACAGTCAGAAGGCCACAAATACAATCTCTCCTATCACCTCCTTGAGTGAGAGCTTTGAATAAGGTAGAGCTGTTTTCAAACTCGTGGAGGTCAAGTGAAACACGCATAATGTAGTAAAGTAACTTAAACCATTGCTAATGTTAAGTACTGTTTTATAAAGTCTCACACGAAATGTCTGCTTTGACAGAACACCTTTATTTTTCATAGTTACTGTAATTCTAAATTGCATGAATTAAAAAAAAAGGGACTTTTATGGCTCAAGGGAATTCTGTGTTCCGGGTGTGGCCACATAGCTAACAGGCAGTAGGTAAGAGTCACTGAATGTTGCTCTTCTATCAGTAAGTCATCAAGTGAAATGCTCTTCCACTAAAGTCTTAAAAATAGCTACATATTAAAGATTCAGGAATAATACAGACTGACAGAAGGCACTCTTCTCCTTACAAAGTCTTGAAAGCAAGAGCTACACAGAAGATGTCATCATGGAGATAGTAAAATTATCTCTTAAAATTAAATCTCTAAAAGGTTTTGAGTCATTCCGTACAACCCTGAAATCACATATTTACTTGATCTTGTGTTTAAGTAAAATTGACCGCAGAATGGTACCTGCTGAGAGAACTCCGTGGTTAATTCTTGGCATGCTTAAAGGGGCCAGTTCAATCCAAAGCTGCCTATTAGGGTCATAAAGAGGGCACATACATCGCATCGCTGCTGTTGGTTTCCGTGAACTAAGGAAATAAATAATTGATTAGCAGTTAATGTGTTTTATATAGTTCTGCTTATAATAACTATGACTAGTTTTACTGCTCTAAAGAATGTTTAAAACATTTTTAAAAAATCTATTGCTATTATGCTTAGACACCAAAAACAATACCAAGAATTCCTGTTTACACGGAAAGAGCTCTTCCCTTCTACGACCTTTGAAAGGAAGCACATCCATACTTACACTCTCTCTTCTCCGCCAACAGTCACAATGCACTCCGAGTAGCCCCGGGGCTTGAAGTTTGCGAGCATGGCCTCCCCCTGCTGCGGCTGGCTCAGTGGTATGTTGTTGCACTCTCTGACGATTTCTCGTACTAATGGTTCATTGAGCATCTGTTCCCGTAAGTAGCTGGAGTCTAACCCTGAAACCCACAGCGCTGACATCACGTCCTTCATGTGAACCTGCACAGGAAGGTAGGAAGGATGGGGAGAAAAAAATGTAGGACGCAGCACATGGGGTTTTAGAACATGCGCTTTCTGACTCACGGAAAAGCCGAAATTGTTCAAGGATCAGCAGTGGGCAAGTCACCAGCGCCAACCCCTTTCCTTTCTATTTCCCCATGGTCTTGATAAAGACAAGCTTAACCTAAAGAATAATCAGTTCAGATTTATCTGTGAGGTATCGCAGAAAAGTTCCAAGCAGCTTTCTTTACACGCGAGAGGGTCACTGGGCTGCAGGGGCCTTATTTCACAGAGTTGGACACGCTAGGAGTTCAATCGCATTTACAGGAACATTATACATAGCAATAGCTTAATTCAGGCCGGGAAAACAGATAATCAAAATCCATCAACATTAACATTACAAGAAAAATAGAAAAGCAAGAGTTCAGAAAAATTCTGAGTACTATGTATTTCTTCATTATTATTGTTAAAAAATACCTAACACATATAACATATAACACACACACGAGGTGAAACTCCTTAGTAGACTAGTTTTTCTTGCTTTTGGAACAGTCATTTGAAGGTATACTGTTCCATGTCCTGAGTGGTAAAGCCAAAAGAGTCCATGAGGAATGAGCTTCAGATTGGCCAGAGGTTGGACTGCCTCTAGTTTCCGCGGCAACCTCACCAGGACAGCTAGTGACTGTGGTCTCTCTGAGCAGCAGTGAACTGAGAATTCTTGTATCTCCTTTCCTCATCTACCCAACTAATGTGGAAAACCAAACGCGAGCTGTACTGCCTGTCCTGAGACTACAACCACACATGAGTGTGGACTTCTTTTTCATTCCTGTGTAACAGTTTCCGTCTGTATTACAGTAGTCCACATTTTCTAAATAAGCCTATAGAATTTTAAAAATTACAAGACCGTCACTAAAACCGAAGTCAGCAGTTGCTGAGAACCACTAACAATGCGATTATACATTTTGAAAACTTCCCTGACACCTAACATGGTTCTTTCTTCGCATACAGCAATTGAAGCTGGTGTCTCTCAATATTGGACTTCGAGCTCTGTGATTCTGCTCCCTCCCCCACTGCAGTGACAGTTTGGATCTAAAGCCTGGTATTCTCTGAGACCCTTCCTTCTCAGCTGTTGCTCCCAGAACCTTCCCCTCTGACTGTACTGGCCCACCGCAGAATGCTTTCTGGCCTTCTGCTGAGTGCTGTCAATCACTCCAGGGAGAGCCCACACCACAGAGTTTCCTGATGTCCACTCCCCTGCCCCGTCTGCCAGAGCTGTGTGGGTCCCTCTCACTTTGCTGCCCACATCAGAGTCCTGGGTCCGCCCAGTAATGGTGCAAAGATGGGTGCTGAACAAGAGAGCGGGAACCCTGCATTTCTAAAGTCCCCAGCTTAAGCTTGAAATGCATCTTCCCGCTAAAAGGAATGCAGAAAGGATATTACGGTCCTTACAAGTATTAATATTCCCATTGGCATATTATGAGTTTCATAAGCTTTTGTAGTCTGGTCTGAAAGAAATAACCACTTGATCCTATGCAATGGTCCTATGTAAAGATGCACCATAGACATCTTTTACCTTATTTTTGTTAAAGATTTTATTGGAGAGAGAGAGAAAGCAAGAGAGGGCATGGGGGGAGGAGCAGAGGGAAAAGGAGAGAGGGAAGCAGACACTCTTCTGAGCACGGAGCCCGATGTAGGGTTCGATCTCAGGACCCCGAGATCATAACCTGGGTCGAAATCGAGAGTTAGAGACCCAACTGACTGAGCCACCCAGGCGCCCCCAGACATCTTTTAGATCACAAGTCGGTAAGCCTTTCGAGTTGAAGGGGAAAGAGAAAACACCCACACGGTGGAGCCCATCAATAAATGAATGAACGAGCAGAATCAGGAAGGAAGCAAAAAGGCAGTCAGACCACGTTATAAACCACAGGTACCTTTCTCAGTTCTGTGTCATGTGCTATCCATCGAATTACCGCTTCAAACACGTATCTTTCGTTGCCGACATTTAACTTCTCGAGAGAAATCACTTCTTTAAGCTTCTGCGGGCTGAGTTCTAAGAACTCTTCTGTGCTGCTGACGTCGCGGAAATGAGTCTCCAGGTACTCCGTGGCCAGGTAGCGGACATGGTGCAGGCAGTAGTGGAGGGCGAAGTCACGGATGCCGATGCAGTTCTCAGCGGCGATGCAGCCTTCCAGAAACTCACAGCACAGCGTTTTGAGATCCGTCAGCAGGAGCAGGTCCGCTGCCTGTACAACATCTTGGATTGTATCTTCGTTCAGCCGGATCTGCAAGAGTATCATAAGTATTTCATGCTTCGATGTACGTATTTAGAGCCCAGACCGCTAACCTATCAGCTGAACCACATGAAAGCTCCCCTTCTGTGGGCAGCTTCACACACTGTGGCCTGGTGCTTCTTTTTCAAGAGGAGCTTCAGGAGCTTCCTGATGAACAGAACGTGGCTGGTTGACTTTTCCTTGCACTGCCCTTGCCTTACCCACATGAACTATCACGAACCCTTCCCGGGTACACGGTCCACATTGCTCGCTTCTAGAACTAAATGGCTGAAATGCTTGGGAGGTGGACCGTGCCGCCTTCTGTGGTAAACTGAAGAGGGTTTCTTTAAACGCCATCACCCAAACTGTGGCAAATCCTGCCTCCAGATACACCATGTTCCGTCTTTTGCTGGATGGCATGCCAGACACACCACACCGGCCCCTTGGAGAGGGGAGGGCCACGTCATTCTGAATGCCAAACATCGCATTTGGTACAACACATACACCCTGGTCTCACAGCTACTTTCTGGAAGAAATCCCTAAGGTAAGATTTCTTTGTTTATCACGATGAACTTCACTTTTCCTTAATCTTCTGCTGCTTCTTCCTCCCACCTCTTGCAACACACAGGTGATGTGAAGAACCAAGCCTCAAAAATACGGCCACAATCACAACTCTCCAGACTCTCCTCTCCCACAGAACGGACGCTGGTCCAACACTTGGAAATGAGGAGGGGCTCCAGAGTACAGGAGAGCAAGTAAAGTACTGTCCCATTTCACACACTGTGTACCGCAGATTCAGAAGAAGAATGTATGACTGCCAATCACCTTATAAAGTGAGCAACAAAACTGTGGAAAGAAGTGTGTCGAGTAAGTCACAACTAAGGGGAAATCTCCCATTTACTTGACATATTAAGTTCAGCTACAGGACAGCAAATGGCTGTATGCCGGTCAGAGGCAGGCATGCAAGAAAATATCCACATTCCATCCTGATCAAACTGAACTGCCAGGTCAGGAGTCCGTTCTAACTGACATCGCAACTATGGCTGTAAACCATAAGTAATTTTTTTTGGTCTATTTTTCTTTTCTTAAGCCATAAGTAATTTTAACTGGGAACTAAACACAGAAGTCAATCTGTAAGTAAGGTTTCAAGATTCAAATCCAAGCCTGAATGGGAGTATGTTCTTACTGGCTTATAACTTGTTATAGCTGCTGCTGAACTGATTTTGAAAAGTTAGAGGACAGGCTGCTCCTCAGCCTGGTTTTGTGATGCTTCCATATCTTTAATATTTTAAGGACTGTCCCCAAATCAATCTAAATTCATTTATTTTTAACAAGCATACACATAACCTTACATGCACCCCCACCCCCGTGTTCAGAGCAAAGAAAAGGGGTAACATCATGAAATTAACCCAAAAACTTCAAAAAGAATGGCAATCACCGAGGTTGACCAAACGAATATAACCAGAGAAGGCAAGCAGTATGTTAGAAAACAGGTAGGAGGTGGCTCTTACAAACAGGAAAGGTAAAATAAGATGAGGAAGGAATAGGGGACAGAGTAAGAAAGAAGCCCTCGAAAAGAGTAAAGAGAAAATGCATTCTCACATAACAAAATGTAAGATACACTAACTTCTTCCTGTTAAAAAATGAGCACCAGTTCAACCTATGATTATTCATAAGAGCCCCCATGCTACACTTTAAATCATGAAATCTGGGGTAGGGGCCTTGAGGATGGTAAAGAAAAAGAAAGAAGTCTAATCATTTAACACCTTCTTCCCTGGGTTTCATTAAACCCCAGGCAGAGAGATAAAGGGACATCAGCAAGAATGGGGTGTGACAGGGATGTCAGTCCTGCTGACCCAGGCATCATGAATCCAATGCAGGGGCCTGTCATTTGTGTGAACCTGAAACTCTTTATTTCTATAAAATAATTCCCACTGCCCAAGGAAGCTCCCATTTCCAGGTTATGGGGTACAGAGCAAGATGGGAATTAAGGTTTGAAAACATAAAGACAGCCATGAAAGGAGCATCCCAGGTCCCTCCCATCTCACAATGGAAGGTGGCGATCAGAATGATAAATACAAAAACTGGGACTGGGCTAAGATTTTACTCAGTCTGCTCTTCTTTTAAGAGCAGGGCCCCAGAAGAACAGTTGGGCAGCATTCCCAGCAGGAGAGATGCGTCACGCAGACAATGGCAGATGAAGAGGACAGTGTTGCTGGGTCACAGAATGGATGACGGAGACCCTCGCCCTGAGCCCGAGCGGCCTCTACTTAGTCTTCCTCCCTGTGAGTCTCATCATACCTGCCCACTGAAGATGTAATCCAGGATCTCTCTCATAACCATTACCGATATCCCTTCAAGTTCAATCTTATAGGTTGATCCATCATCTTTTGGAGGATTATAGTTTAACTTTGTCCTAAGAAAGGGAAAAAAATGTAAAATTTCTATGAAAGAACAGAAATAGCTATAAATATTTATGTACTAAAACTCTATAAAGTAGATATTTACAGCATATGAACCCCACCTAGGAAATATAATTTGTTAACTTTAGATTAATATACATATACATATATTTATAACTTCTGACTACAAAATACTTCTTCCAGGATTCAGAATGCTATTTCTGAAAAAACAAAACAGACAACCATAGCTAAGAGTCACCTGAGTAAGGATCTCTACTTCACCCTGGGAGCCCCAGCTCTGTTAGGCTTACATTTTTTTTTCATGTATTTAATTATCCAACTATTTTAAATAATGTAATAAGGACACCACAAACATCGCACCCAAAACACAAGCTAGGACCTTGACAAGAACCTGCTTCTACCCAGATGTTCCTTTTAACCATCCATCCCTCTGTTCTCCCCATCGGAAGTAACTATCGTCCCAAATCCCATGTCTGATTTTCCCTTGCTTCTTTGTTATTACTGTACCCATTAAACCACTCTCCTTGTGGCTGTGATCTGTACCGCCCTGTCACTCAGGTGTGGAACACCTCTTCATGTCTGTGGCTATATGTGTTCCCTCTTCTGTGAAACACATGTTAAGTTTAAGTCTTTTGTCATTTTTTAAATGGAGTTAATTGTCTTCATATGGAAGTGTAGGAGTTATTTATTAGATTCTTGATATTAAACCTCTGGCAGACTTGGCATGTTTGTTTAAGGCAATGAATAATTTGAAGAATCATTTTTCATGGTGAATAAGTTTTTTCTGTCTTGTTGAAGAACTGGTACCTTACCCAAGGTCTAAACAATGTTCATAATTTAGCAGTGAGGAAAGGTAAGACACAATCTAAACTGCACTTAAGAACCCCCCATCCCTTGAGGCTGGGAATTGGTTAAATGAGGCAGCTATCGAAGGAGGGTGAGAGATGAGCCAAACACAGACACAGGTTGACAGAGGTAAGAAGGAGCTGAATTCCAAGGTCCTGCCTCCCCATATACACACAACTCCCATTAGATGCTCCCCACCCAGCTCCAGGGCAAGGTAAGTGATTTACATTGTAAAGAATATAAAACAGAGGGTGGGTCTCTGGACAGGGGGGATATCAGACACATCTGAGGTAAGAGCACTACACAAAAACAGAACAAATAGAATGTTTACATAGTGAATGCTGAGACCATCAATCTTTTTTCCCTCAATTCTGTTCTTAAATGTTGAAAGCCAGAACTACATCCTCCAGGTAAGAAACTAGAAGACTCTTTGGAGGTTCTGACCAGCCCTGAAAGGAAAGACCTAAAGCTATGGACACAGGTCTGCCCCGAGAGCACATGACCTCAAACTTCGGGAGGAAAATTATTTCCAACCTAGATTTTGATAACCAGCCAAACTACCAATCCAATGTCAGGACAGAATAGATATTATCAGCTACACATGGTCCCCAAACAAATTATTTCCCTTGCGACCTTTCTCAGTGTGCTGGTGGAAAATGTGCCTCAACAGTCAAGGGAGCAGATCAAGAAAGAGGAGGATTTCAGTAACTAGAAGACATGCTCCAACAGGGGAAAAAAGGGAAGTCAATGTAGGGAATGGTACGGAATGGCCCTAAGCCAGCAGCTAGTAGAAGTAGAAGGAGGAGGCCGTGGGAGACCCTGAAAAATGAAACTGATGGGATGAAATTGATGGGATAATGTATCTGGAGGTACCAAGAAAGTATTTAGGCAATCTTGTTTCCTTCCTGTATTTGTCTGCTATTCCTGCCTCTACAGTTTCTACTGAACTAAACAGTTTCACTTAAAAGGTATTTCATTTCTGCTCACTGCACCTTGGGTTTATCTCTATGCCTGACACTTAGTAAATGAGGAACAAAATTTCATCAATTCCCAACCAAGAGAGAAAAACTGTATTAGTGGTACAGCTAAGACCTAAATCTAAATAAAGTGCACTGTGTAGTCCTTCTGGCAGCACGCGTGGCACTTTTCACTTCGGATGTCATGACTATTTGTACTTTTCAGTCGCTGTGTTCGGTGTCGACACACTGCCTCTCAGCTCCAAATTCTCCCTTTTTGCATGCTCTGTGAAAATGGATCTGAGCCTCTTAAATAATTTTCCTTTGTCAACTGGCATGACATGAAGCTTTCCGGTAGAGAGCGCCGGAAAGACGGTGCTTCCTGGTTCTGGTCTAGCAGCTTGGAAGGCTCCCACAACACAGCCAGGCTTCCCAACACAGAGCGCCTGTGGTGCATGGCTGCTGGCAGCACACGGCAGTCTCCCAGGAGCTCCCACCGGCAGTTCTGACCTCTCGTGAGCAGCTTTCCTAGGCACCTGCGAGGACAGACTTCTGGCAAGTTCCAGCTGTGCGGCTTCTGCGCCACGCAGGGAGCTGTGTGCTGTGTCCTGTCCAAAATGTGTGGAGCTCAGCCCAGGCTGGAGGCTGCTCCTTCTATGGGCTGTTCCTGTATTTTTTAGAGTTTTCCTTACCTCTTACTAGCTAATCCCTCTTAACTCCAACCTCTTGCTGCAGTTTATTATTCTTTACCATTAGGCTTTCATTTTTTAAGTTACCATGTGGACTTTTTCTCCCAACGAGATCCAGGCTGAGGAAGTTGCTATTCAAAGGCAGCAGGCCTTTGACGGGAGGAACCGCGCATGTTGTGGACGGTGGAAGTAGGAGAGGGACTGGACTGGGGAGAGAAGGGGCTACAAGCAGACCTTTCCTCACTGCCCCCTTTCAGCGTTCAACCATGTGACTGCATCGTTGCTGTGTTTGTGAAGTTGACTACATTGTCCTATGTTTTCACAATCAGAGTATAGTCTTCCCCCTCAGCGAGAGATGGCTAAGAGGACAGAAAAGAGATTCCTGTAGATATGCACACTGGCCATTTCAGTCATCTCTAAAATCAGACCCTTTTCAAAGCCCGGGAAAAATCAATCATTGTAGATGTTCAGATGTCTCTAAACATCTGAGGCCTAAATTACAGAAGTTTAATTATGGTTTAAATTCAGATCCCTACAATTGCCCCCAAACTTTCCCGTCCTCCTGTCCCACATCGGATCTCTCCTGGTACCATCGGTGCACGGTCCACTCCTACCCACCCTGTAAAGACTGGAGAAAACGACAGCTCAACAAAGAGTTCTCCTTATCACTCCACCCTGCCAAAGGCTGCACCTGTACCCTCACCTCCATGCAGGTAGAAATAATTTCTCCTGCTACAGATTTCCCAAGCCCTTTATATTACAAGTTCATCAAGTTCTGCTGTGAGTATGGTATTTAAGTACATATCCCATTTCCCATCTCCTGTATTTAACTGTAAGTTCCTGGAGGCCAGTGTCCTCTTCATCACTGGAACCTGACAATGGAGCCCAGCAGTTCACAAAGAACAGAAGTTCAACAGTTATTTGTAAAGTAAGTGCTGGAAGTGATAATGGTCTTCAAATAGTCACCATACTGTCACATGAGATTTCCTTCCCACATGACCTCAGGTACTATGAAGTGGAACCAGAAGTGATAGGAGGAAGAGCGTCTCATAATCGCACCTGTCCAAGGCTGAAAGGACAGAAGCGCAGCATTTCTCAAACTTTAATGTTCATCAGGGTCATCTAGGGGTCTTGATTCAGAAGGTCGCGGTGGTGCCTGAGTTTCTGCATTTGTAACAAGGTCTCATGCAGCACTGATGCTGCTGGTCTCCAGACCCCTCCGAGTAGCAAGGGGTTAATCGATGCTTCCCAAATAACCATGGTGTGTTTGGTACTTGTAATCCATCCCAGATGAATACTTCGTAAGATATAATAAAACTTTATTATAAATAAAGCAGAATGTACCACACGGCCACTCCAGTTATTAAGACTAGACTGCGTATTTGAAAGCTGCCAAGACAGTAGATCTTACAAGCTCTCATCACGAGAAAAAAAGTTTGGTAACTATGTAAGGTGACATACATAGACTTACCACAGTGGTCGTTTTGTAATGTGTACAAATATCCGAATCGTTATGTTGTACACCTGAAGCTAACACAAGGTTATGTTGCTTATACCTCAATTAAAAAATGAAGGAATTATGAGAAAAATGAAATAAAAAGACACATTAAATGCAGGCCCCAATCATTTTATCATCAGATTCAACAGATATAAAATTACTCTGTCAAATTGCTATAAGTGCCTAAACGCTTAACCTCATTGGGGCACCTGGGTGGCTCAGTCGGTTAAGCATCCGCCTTCTGCTCAGGTCACGATCCCAGGATCCTGGGATCGGGCTCCACATCGGGCATCCTGCTCAGAGGGAAGCCTGCTTCTCCCTTTCTCTCTGCCTTCTCCCCAGCTCGTGCTCTCTCTCTCAAATAAATAAAATCTTTAAAAAAAAAAAAAAAAACAAACCTCTCTCAACCTCCAAGCATGTACTTGTATTATGGCGGCTTGTTTTTGGAACGACACCAGTGTGCAGACGTTCCTCGTTGGCTGGATGATCCCCCATCTGTCAGGAATATGGTGAAGGCTTGTCTCGAGTCTCTTCCAATCCTAGCTGGTAAGAGTCACTCAAATCTGTTTTGAAATAGTCTTGCTTCAGAGGCTACCGTCACTCTTGTTACCGCCTTCTCTCAGTTCTTGGAGAACCGCTATCCCTTTCCAACTCAGTGACCTCAAATGTGTCTTATTCTCCCTCCTGTTGTCTTCCCTTTTTCCTGATTCCCCATCTAAGTCACTAGATCCCTTTAGTTTTTGTCATTCTATCTTACATTTCTTTCCTTCAGGAAATACCTCAATTTGCCCAAAACCCACCAATTGACTGTCCTCAACCTCCAGCCCAGTTTTCTCAATAACTTTCCCCTTTCGAGCTAGAATTTTCTCATCTTGCACATCATCTCTCTCTTCTCTGCTGCAGAAAATTTGGTGAACTGGACTGAATGAGTTAACAAATTAAAAAAAATAAAAAAAGCTCATCCAAAGCATTAATAACTGACAGTTCTGTTTTGTAAGTTAGCC